TCGTAAGGTGTGGGCTGTACTTGTGAGAACAATTTTTTTTTATTTCTTTAAGGTACGTGGTACAGGAATCCCTTCAATGAGTATCGGAATCTTTTCCAATCAATCCGAGGGCTTCAGCTACAACGGGGATTGTCGATGTTCTCATGTGCCACATTTTTGAGATTTCCATTTCAAACTCCTTGTATTTTGATAGCTTTTTGATGATCTTCAAAGATACATTACAGTCTGCAGGGACTGCCATATCAACAAGGAGGCAATTTTTTTTTTTTTTTTGTTCGCGGTCTCTAATAACAATGTCTGGGCGGTTGGCTTTGATTGTTCTGTCTGTGTGTCTTGTGTAGTCCCATAAAATTGTAACAGGTTCTACCTCCGTAACTTGGCCTGGGGGTTATTATTATTATTATTATTTGTGCATGTGTATGTTTCCTGCTTTGTATCCTATAGAGCCGGGTCCAAATTATGATCTTTAAGCCCTATAGGAAAATTGTTATTTAACTGATAGCACTTTTATTAGTATATGAGATGTTCCTAGTTGGGCGATCTTCTGGGCAGGTTGTATGTTGATGGTACCTTGGACACTGTAAGTAAAATTGTTCATACCTTTTTTCACGAGGCCCAGACCTCCGATTACTATTGGTACAGTCTCAGTCTTCATTCCCCACCTCCTGTTAATCTCGATCTCCAGGTCCTTGTATTTGGACAATTTCTCGATCATTTTCATGGAGGTGTTTCTCTCAGATGTTACTGCTATGCCAATAAACATACACTCCCTGAATTTCTTGTCTTTTATGATAATATCAGTTTTGTTGGCTTTTATTTCCTTATCAGTATTATTATTATTATTATCATTATTATTATTATTATTATGTCGGTGTCGTACATTGACGTAGTCAAAGGAATTTCTGTTCTTGGAACACAATGTCAAGAAAACTCCTTAACGATTCAAGAACTTTTCAGGTAATCCTTGCAGAGTAAATGATTCCAGTTTTATAGACATCTACGATCATGGTTTTTAATTTCAATTTTCCCTAACCGCATTTTCAATTTTCTAAGTGGTGTTCCAAGCGTAATTATTGCAACAGGAATTACTTCAACAATAATGTTCCGTAGATCCTGGCATTTTTCAATCTTTTCAGTTTCTTTGGAGTCCACTTTTGCAATGTCTGGAATAGCAAAATCAATAATTTAACAATTGTTAATTTCCTGATCTATCACAATAAGGTCGGGTCTTTGTGCTTCAATGACAAGATCTGTCCGGACCGAGAAATCCCATATCTTGTAACTGTCATTTTCTACCACTGTCTCTGGCTGATATTCATACCTTTTCTCCTTTATTATACTATTTCTCTTTCGTTATTATTATTACAAGGTAACCCAAAAAGTTCTGTCCGTTTTTAAATGAAAAAAAGAAAACGCTTCACAGTATGTGTAACTTATATTTAGTCTTCAAAGTAATCACCATCGGCATCCAGCACCTTCTGCCAACGTGTCTCCAGCTGTTCAATGCCCTTGCGGTAGAACTCGGGGGGGGGGGGTGACGCAAAGAAGTCCGTGAGGGCTTTGCGCAAGTCTGCTTCATTGGTGAAGGATTTCCCACGAAGATGATTATCCAGGGAGTGGAAGAGGTGGTAATCGGATGGCGCATGGTCAGGTGAATAAAGTGGATGGCACAAAGTCTCCCACCCAAGTTGCTGTATGGTATCCTTGACCACTCGCGCGACATGCGGCCTGGCGTTGTCATGGAGGAAAAGCACACCTTTGCGATTCACCAGTGCTGGATCCTTCTGGCGCAATACCTGTTGCACACGTTTCAATTCCTGCGAGTATAGGTCTCCAGTGACCGTTTGGCCCGTTGATAGCAGTTCGTAATGAACCGCTTGACGACCTGTCCACCAGACACAAAGCATAATCCTGCGTGGGTGCATAGGCGGTCTTGCGGTGTGAGGGACAGCATCCTGAGGAGACAATCAATGTCTGGAACGCTTAGGAGTTTCGCACAGAACCCACTTTTCATCACTGGCAAGCACTCGATTGAATAAGGATGCGGTACGGTGGCGAGGATGCAGCGATACGCAGGCTGCCACTCGTTGTCCCTTGTGGACCTCCAACAGCGTTTGCGGAATCCACATGCTCAGTTTGTACGTCTTACCTAGGCGGTGCAGATGAAGTCTAACTGTTTCATCGGAAACGTTGAACTGTCTTGCAAGTTCTCCACACGTTAGACTACTGGCCTCTTCAATGGCCGCCTTCAGGACTCCGGCATTCAAGACCTGTGATCGTCCACTGCGATGCTCATCATGGAGAGACAAATCTCCCGACTTGAATTTTTGAAACCAACGCCTTGCAGTACGTTCATCCACAGCACTATCCCCAAACGCTTGACATATGCGGCGACTTGATGCAGCTGCTCATAAGCCCACTTTGCAAACAACCCCGAACGAGATCTCTAGACACTTCCATCCTTCTCACAGCTGCCCGGCTTATAACTGATGGCCGGGCACGGTGCGCGTGTTTTTTATAACGTTTGATGTTCCTACTTCCGGCTGTCCGAATTTGAAAACAATTGCTGCACGCATTTCGTATATATTTCAACTTCATTCAATGACTAATCAAAAAACGGACAGAACTTATTTTGGTTACCTTGTATTATTAGTGAATGATAGAGCAACATGCGAACAAAATGGCGGGCTGTACAAATATACGAAGCCCGATATGACCATCACAACAACCAGTCTGATAAGGTATAGCAGGTACATGCATCACAGCCATAACAAACTCATCCCGACATCCAATCATGATGACCCCTACCCCAACTCATGAACATAGTAAGTCAGTCCCCTAGTCTCATACCTAACTGGTTGAAGTCGGACAACTGTAAAGCAAATCTATGGTAATGAACGGGGTTTTATTGTAGCCGATCTTAATTCCCCATGACAAAATCTTTACATATTAACAGCAATCGATTAAGATCAGAAGGTATGATTTCCGTAACTGGTGTACCATCAGTACATATTATTATTATTATTATTATTATTATTATTATTTCCTTTGATTTCCTTTAAGTTTCCAATCAGAGACCTAATGTCAGCAATGGCATCATGACTTTTTCCACTGATCATTTTTGTAAAAAAAAATCATCTAAGATCACACACATTTTTATATAGATAAAGCTCTTCGTAACGTGTGATCTGTAATTTTTTGCATTTCCTTTAAGGTGTAGACAATCCGGAATCCCTTCAATGAGTCTATCGGAACTTTTTCCAATTGATCCGAGGGCTCCAACTAGAACTGGAATTATTGATGTCCTCCATGTTTTTTTTTTTTGTGTTTTTTTTTTATTTCCACTTCAAGATCCTTGTATTTTGATAGTTTTTTGAAGATCTTCAAAGATATATTACAACCTTCAGGGACTGTCATGTCAATAAGAAAGCACATTCTATTTTTGTGGTCTATAATCAGGGTGTCTGGGCGATTATTATTATTATTATTATTATTATATACATGTCGCAAACGGTTGTCACTGAGGATCGAACTACAAATTGGTTCAAATTTCTAGCACCTTTTTTAATATTACTGCCGATCCCAGCATTGCCATGATTTTGGCAGTCTCAACTGCTTTTGGGATCTCCTTTTCCCTTTATTTTGCTCCCAGGACCATTAGAATGATTTTCATTTATCCTTCTTTTTCCGATTATCGGATTCCTGATTCGAATCATGTTCTTAAATAGCTTCGTCAGATCTAGAATGGCTTCGAACAAATGAATGCTGTAAGTCTTAAAGAAGACTATACTTCTTCAGATCCCATAGACTGGCGCCACAGAATCACAAACGTTACGAAATACGAAAGCTCACATCATTTGAAAACTTCCAACCGTAGCAACAACTAAAATGGATGGCGCGTATCACTTGAAGAGAAAATAATGACATCAATATGTTGGTTTTTCACGCTACCTTAAACAAAATGTTAGGAAGGAAAGCCCCGTCAATACTAGAAAGAGAGATAACAGTCGGACTTTAGAGACCTATTTTGCTGAAAAACTGTTCTAAGAGAAAGACTTTATAGATTTCAACCAACAGTAACGCTAAATGTTCGGTCAATGTATGCCGAATGTTTCCTTATAAGGAAATGGCTAATCTCACCATTACCATCTGTCCCTCTTGATTTTCACACATGATCTGCCAGAGCATCTCCGTCCACGCTCTGACAGAATCTTTTTTTCTTATTTATTGGTGGTGGGCAATAGTTATCGTTACCAGTTAATTGTTTTTTACAGTGGTACTCACCCCGTGCAAGGCCCTGTGATCACTCGAAGTAGACGATTACAGAGCAAGTGGTACAACTTATACGGATATGTGTGGAAGACAACGGTTAACTCTAGACTTGAACAGATTAAGATTGTAGTGATCAGGGAATCGGTGTCATGAGAGTCGGTTCCGCAAGGCAGCGGTATGTGGGAAGAAGCCTCTTGAGTGGAACTTCTCGCCAGAGGGATACAAAGGGAACGATGGTGGTTCGTTACAATGTGCGTGGCATGATGGGTCTTAGCCGTGAAGGTTAGGACTGGGAGAACTAAAGAGTGTAGTTCATCTGAACACTCACTATGGAAATAGCGCTAGGACCGTGAGAGGCTTGCGACGTCTCGTCTGCGAGAAAAGGGTTGTAGAAAATAATTCGTTAGAGATGCTTTTGGGCACTACAGAGAATTGAAAGTGAAGACTTGGTAGATTCCTCCCATATATGGCAGCAGTACTCCATTTTCAGCCTGATTCGGCTCTTGTAAAGGTAAATGGCAGTAATAAGAAGATTCTGTGATAGTACGATAAAGAAAGTCGGCCGTCATACTGATCCCAATCAAAGAGTAATAACTGTAGATATTGCATTCTCTCTTTCTCCCCTCTAGCTTTTACAAGTAACTCTAACTCACACGCTCAAAGGTGGACATTATCTATCTATCTATCTATCTATCTATCTATCTATCTATCTATCTGAACCTCTTCAGATCTATCTATCTATCTATCTGAACCTCTTCAGATCTATCTATCTATCTATCTATCTATCTATCTGAACCTCTTCAGTTCTATCTATCTATCTATCTATCTATCTATCTATCTATCTATTCAATTCGCTGGATATGAAATTTCTAACAAACAGTAAACATTTCCGTGGAAAATGTTCAAATGGAATCCGTTCTTTACTGCCACAAATTCAAACCATTTTTTTTAATCATTTCACCACAAGCAAGGCAATAATGCCACTAGTACGCAGGGGTTTACACGGAGTGAAAGTGAAAAAGAAGATTGTGATTGACGTTGCATTTAAATTTTTGAAGATTTTAGTTATCAGGGAAGCAAGGAAACGGAAGGGTGTTCCACGGGTGGGAAGTGCGAACAAAGAAACTGTCGTTGTAGAAGTGGCGGTTGGATTTACCTATTTCAACAGTAAAACGGTGAACCCTAGTTACCAACCTAGTATCACGCTTAAATTCATGTATTCGGGGCACTAGGGAAAAAACACGTCTTTACAGCTATGACACGCCTTGTTACATCCACAGGGTTGAATCACCTTTATTCCCTACGTATTTCTTTCGTAAGAAGGATGTTACACTCAGAAAGCTTAATCCCAAGTACCGTCACTCTGTGGAACAGACAGCCACATAGATGCTTCCTGGCATTTACATTTACCTCCCTCATACACACACTGAGTTAGAATGCGACACAAGGTCAGTTTATTTTAACATGGGGTGCCCCACTCGGGCTGCAAGGTCTTTTTCTGGTCTTAGCTAGTGATAACCAGTCAACCCCACTTCGGAACAGATCCGAAGATTCTGTCCAGGCAGCGGGGGGGGGGTCGGCAAGGAACAAATGCTACAACAGCACCTCTCCTGAGGCAAGCCGTCCTAGCCGCGGAGAGAAAAGCCCAGCACGGAACAGATACTACAACTGTGGATGCTACCTCTTCAAGTTCAGGGCCAATCGTTATCCATCCTTAATATGCTCATAATCCCCACTTCCTCCTCTTACATTCATATCACACATCACACTTAGTAACACTCTACCATGGGTGGCTCTTAGGTTTTGTATTGATTAAACATTAGCTAAAAGTTTTAAAAATTACATAACCGATTCCAGTCTTGTGAGAGAGCTGATAGTTCCATGTGGATGCTTTGTAAAACAGGCTCCCTAGTAGACGATTCTCCAAATACTACAATCTTAACCTTTTCAAGTTTAGGGTCAATCGTTATCTATCCTCCACATCATCATAATCTTCACTTCCTACTTCTTCTTCTTACGTTCATATCACACACCTTATTCTGTAACACACTACCTTGAGTAGTTCTTGGGCCTTGTATTGAGTGAAAAAAAACATGTTTCAAGAAGCAGCCCTAACTACTACTAGTATGGAAGACTTATGCCCTCTCCAGGGCGCAGGCCTGGTCTGGGATTTTTATGAGGGATTGACAGTTGCCCACACAGAACGTCACACCTCGCCACGCTACCGATGATGTCCAAAGGAAAGGAGATAAAAAAAAAAACTCTGAATTCAAAACCTCCAACTATGGGTAAAATATTAGAGTAGTATGGGCTATGTAGACAGGGTTGCAACCAGACAACACTGAGCCAGAGTTTCTAAGACAGTCCGATGTCATGTTTAAATTTAATTCTGGCAACTCTTGAGACGACGACGGTACCAAGCTGCGTTGGCCACTGCCTTTCCCTTGAACTATTACTACAGAAGCTCTAAACAGCATTATACAATATTTGTACCACAACCCCACAAAAAAAAAAATAAATAAACATAACTTATTTTTGTTATTACAATGAATTTTTGAGCAACCACTCACAAATTCCTTGTTCATTTTTTCTTTGTCATATTCGTCTTTCGTTCGTGTTTGCGTGTGCATATGTGTACGTCTGCATGGTAAAGAACAATTTGCGCTACATTTCATAGACAAAACGAAAATTGCGATGAACAGAAAAAGCTTTCTGTAAAAATATTCTTTACGGAATAACTGCGAGCATAAAATGTCATACTTAGAACGAAAGCGATGTTTCAGTCTGGGGGAGGGGTAAAGCCAAAAAAAAAAAACACCACTGTTAAATGGTCTTTAATCTAGTCACATTCCATTTTTACGAGCTCGAATTTCTTTCCCTTCTTCAGTTCACTAGAAATCTTGGAAAAGAAACTTAATCATAGACTCAATACGAAAAAAAAAAACATTTTTTTTACTGAACAATAGGTGGAATTCTATTAGCGTCCACTTTTAAGAATTCTCTCGAACGTTTTTATGAATCCTAAGAAGGAAGAATACGTCACATTATTGGAGAATTCTATTATTAATGCTAGGAAGGCTGAACTAATACGTTTTAAGTGTGTTGCATTAGACAGTGCCTTTATATTTACGAAAATCAAAAGGATTCTTGATTTAATATACAGTTAGGAAAAGTAGTTTTACCTGGTGTTGCTCGATAGCTGAAGAAAAAAAAAAGACCGAAAATCACCATTGCTCACTTTCGCATCAGTTTTGTTTTATCGACATTTAGCAAATCTGATTTCAAGGAAAGAATAGAAATAGATTCAGAAAGATATTAACTGAGAAGACGCGTTATTTCGAGTCGGTTACCATGAATAATAGTTTTTACTAGTCATCAGCTAAGTACAATAATGGCTTGTGTCTTTGTCTGGAGAAACATTTGGTATTTTGCAATAATATCAATTTTGAGGGTCACGCACCAGTGTCATAATACAGCTTGTTTGTAAAGGCTATTTTTCGATGGTTGTAATATAAACAGATTTATCCTTCCTTCCTTCCTTTTCTTTTCTTCTACCCTTTTCCTTCGTTTTTCTTTCTTCTTTTCCTTTCTCTCCATTTCCTTTCTTCTTTCCTTTTCCATTATTTTCCTTTCTGCCTTCCTTTTTCTTCATTTTCCTTTCTTCCGTTCCTTTGTTTCTTTCTTTTGCTTTCTTCTCTTTTTTCTTTCCTTTTCCTTCCTTTTCCTTCCTTTTCCTTTGTTTTTTTCCTTTTTCATCTTTCCTTCCTTTTCCTTCCTTTTCCTTTCTCTTTTTCTTTTTCATCTTTCCTTCCTTTTCCTTCCTTTTCCTTTCTTCCTCTCTTTTTCTTCCTTTTCCTTGCTTCCTCTCTTTTCCTTCCTTTTCCTTCCTTCCTCTCTTTTTCTTCCTATTCCTTTCTTCTTTCATTTCCCTTACTTTTCCTTCTTTCCTTTTTCTTCCTTTTCCTTTCTCCCTTTTCGTTTCTTCCTTGCATTTCTTTCATTTTCCTTTCTTCCTTCCGTTTCCTTTTTTCCTTCATTTTCCTTTTCTTCCTTGTACACTCTTTCTTCCTTTCCCTTATTCTTTCCTTTTACATTCTTCCTTCCTTTTCCTTTCTTTCATTTTCTTTATTTTTCTCTCTCTTTCACTTTCTTTCTTTCTTTCTTTCACTTTATTTCTTTCTTTATCTCTCTCTCTCCTTCTCTCTCTCTTTCTTTCTAACCATTTTTGACGATCGAAAGAAATCAAGCGAAAACTAAAACAAAAAGTAAACTTTGCTCTGATGAGTATTGCGAGACAAATAAGTGGCCATTTTTAAAACTTCTGAATTATCTGCACCCCACCGAGCCCCGCCCGCATACAATATTTCTAATTTCATTTGAGTTTGAGTAAATAATGACCCAGTGTATAATGAAATGCATGATTGTCAATTTGACCAGGCTCCATCAAAACCAGTAGGCAGATACAATTCTATCTATCATTGACAGCATTTTGATAGAATAAGTCATGTAAAAGCGGAAACAAGTTATTCATACAAAAATATATTGATAAAAATATTTAGAGAATTATTATTAAGTAATTCATCGAGTCTAGAAGAAACCTCGACAGAATGCAGAAAGCACTGGACGGCCGTTTCGTCCTTATTGGGACTCATCAGCAGTGCGCATCCACTACCGAGAATTGAAACCTGGACAGTTACATTGACAGGCAAACGTCATACAAACTGTACTAACAGGCCTCGGAGAGGAAGGCGAACTAGACTCGATATTGCGCCGCTCGTTCGCATATTTCGTGATGGAACTCATCCAAGTTCCTTTACCTATTATTATTCTAGTCTTATTGGTATACTGATGGAGAAAAGTGAAAGAAACTTCCTCGTAAGTGATTATTAAATGCTTCTATAAAATCCTTTGCTGAAATTTTGAATTGATAAGATACTTGGTTTCCAGAGATAAGGTGTGTGTTCTCGTCTTGGTGGTCAGCGTCGACAGAGAGAGGAGCTTTCAAAAATCGCCACGCCTATAACTTAGCCAGGGGTGGTATTAGTACATGCTTCAAACTTTGTCATTTACTCACGCTGTGGGTATGTGCGTTAAAGTGGTAACCATGAGGATCTCGACGCCAAATCTAACAAAAATGTTTGATAAATGCCAATAACCTTCTTTGCAACTGCCGATCCTCTTTTTTGAGACATGTCAGATCTATCACACGCACGTACACACACACACATATAATCCTTGACCAAATTTATATCAGTACGTGATTCGCTACGACTACAGTCGTGCGATTAGTTACGTCTTGTCATCATTAAATCAGGTTTGGCAACTGAATAAAACATAAACTACCTTTGACCACACCATCCATGACGTTTATCTAAGCAATGTTCCTGGATTTATATTATAAAAGAAGAGCTAATTTTCTGTCTGTCATACATTGTCTGCATTTGATTTTTATATGCGCGTACGTCTGTGCTGTGTGTGAGTAACTGATATGTGCTTGTGCCTCTTAATGCACACACGCATCATATGAAACTTGACTTAATTTGAAATAAAACAGTAGAATAATACATTACCCGAACACTCAGTTTAGACAATACCTACCCTGCGCTGAATAATAATGTCAAAACGTCGTGGGCAAGAAAAAAACGTTAATTTTTTAACCCTAAAAAATTATAAATTTTTATTGTACTTTTCGGAAATTATTCAGAAATAGAATTAAAGTTAATTTTTCAGAAATATATTTAGGTCTGCGAATATATTAAAATATAGGTACCCACACTCAAACATACATACACACACAAAATTTGAGTGAAATTGAAAGGGACATCTGTGTTGCGAGACTTAATTTTCTTTTTATGTCTGACAACAACTCCCGGGTAACAAGAAACTGGTATAAGCGAGTCCCTTAGAGTCATTTTTGTAACTACTCTATGTAAACTGAATATATTTTCGAATGAATGTAATAGTTTAAACGGGCAAATAATTTAGATTTTAAATTTGATTATCATGCCGTTAGCGAAGTGACAGGTACTGAACTTGTACATTACAAATTCTAATGTGTGAGGGTTGTCTTTTAAGGGTTGTAGACTCTGATAATGTTTTTTCATTGATAATATACTTTCTCCAAAAGTATTTGACGTCCACGTTTATATCTTTGTTATTTTCTTCCTTTTCTTCCATTTTTTATGTTTTGTTTTGTTTTTTCGTGTTAAACGCATTTAAAATATTTCTCGTATAAAGTTGAAATTATTTTATTTAGCCAGTTTCTATCTCTATCTTTAAATTGATACACTATTCGTAAAAGCAAGGTGAACAAGTTGCATAGGGGCGTCAATACAACATGTTCAGCAATAGTTGAACGTTTGTTACAATGTGCTTGGTCTTATAACAAAGACATGTTCTCAATACTGAGGAAGGCTAATGCTGAATTTCATTTGATGGTGTTGGAATCTATTTATATTAAGTCCAACCAGCCATCTCTCTGTAAGCAGAAGTTATTTTTAAGCTTAAATGTAATTAGCCTATACGAGTTATGTAATTATTATATAGCATTTGATCTTCATTTTAGTGTTGTGCACATTTCTCATCCTCAGGTGAGCTCTGATGAGAGAAGGCCAAAGGCGTTTAGCTGATTTTTTTTTTTGTTGTGCTATATTTCAATATTATCACTTTACGGTAATGTAATTGTTTTGGGGATTTTTATAGAGGGGGGAGGTTGATTTGTTTTACACCCAACTTTTTTTGTTCTTTTTTCTTGTTTTGACAAGTTCGTTTTTTAATTAAATAGATAATATATAGAAATAGACACATAGATAGATTTGATCATAATAGTCAATATCTATTGAAAAACAAACAACTATAGTTAAACACTTTAGTCAAAGCTTGAAAAAGACAGATATCTGGCACGGATAATGGAAGCGTTTCACCCCATGCAAGGCGAGAAGCCACTAGGACGCAAGGGGTTACGAACTAGGACGCAAGTCGAACCGTTTTAAGTTATAATCATTTCACACTAATTTTTGCCCTTGATAAAGGCATAAAACCACTTTTCCCTGCGCCCTGTCCTATTGCCAGATATCAACATTTTCATTACTGGCATGAAGTGATGGTTGATGAAGTAGGTGAGTCAGCAATTAGTCAAACCACTTATAGCGATTTTCTAAGCGTAGCTTAGATGTGGCATAAGGCCGAAAGTATAGAGTACCCAATGTGGATAGAACTCACTACTCAGTCGTAATAGATCCAGCAAGACAAGCTTGCTAACAATTACATCACGTCGAAGTGCACACAAACCACTTTCTTATAAGTACGTGCCGGGGAAAAATCCTTACTCCTCATTATTCAACAGAGAGTATAGGTTTTGAATTTAATGAACTTACGAAAACCAAGATAAACATTTTTTTTAAATAACTCAAATAAAATAACTCAAGCCACCACTTCCTCCGCCGCCGAGGAAAATAATATAAATGATAAATATAATAAATAAATAAATAGTTACGCATCAAATAATAAATCATAATTAAGTATCTCTGAATTGCACACAGAAAGGTTCTAACGCTTGGATATTTATGAGTTGTATATATATATATATATATATATATATATATATATATATGTGTGTGTGTGTGTGTGTGTGTGTGTGTCCTGACCGTGTTTGGAAAATCAAAAAATATTCCCATCACTATAGAAACACATACATACGTAGTGTCCAAATTTAAGGAGCAAAAATTAAAACATGGATATCAGAAATTCGCATGATACGCGTTATTCTTACATATTTCCCGACTTGTTCCTTAATTTTGGACACTTGACATTTGAGAAAAAATTAAATGAATCATAGCTCTCTCTGTATCATTCCAAATAACTTACAGACTTAAAGCAAAACTGAATTCTCATTTGTCTACATTTAGTTAAAATCTTTAAAAAAAAAATGGACTTTAATTTTTGTTCCTTAATTTTGGACCATACTGTATATAAAATTCTACATATTTCGTTAATAAAATTTAGTTAAAAATAAAAACATGTTTGATAATGGCTAATAGAATTAGCCGAAAACGCTCGAATATACAGACCATTCGGACAGTTTTTACACATTTTATGTGCAGAAAAGAAAACACTTATACGAACACAAGAAACATTGAATAAAAAGTTTAATTGCAGTATTATGTCAGTTGTCTTTAATGAAAATTGTGTAAAAGTGGGATTGCTGTCCGAATACAAATTTTTTGTTTATTTGTAAGTTTGTATGTTATGCTATAGCTATAAACTGTCAAATGCGTTGAAGAATACATAAGTGCTAGCCAATTACATCATTATCAAATTGAAAATAAATCTTCTGAAATATTTTGATTTTTTTTATCTTCATTGCATCTGTGGTAAAATCGAATTTTCGGTTTGGGGTGACCTCTTTCAAGAACTAAAACAAATTAATTGCTTTTTCATTACTTTTGCACAAAATTTCATCGATTTAGACCACAGGAACACAGGGTTACCAAAACGTCATAACCCCAATATATATATATATATATATAAGAAAAGTGAACATTGAAGTCAACACTCAGAGGCTGTTTCATGCTAGACGCAATCGCCTCTGAGTGTTAACTTCAATGTTCACTTTTATATTTACATACGCTGATATTGAGCACTTTATCATATAAACATAGTACACCTTAGAATTATATTTCTTCATATATATATATATATATATATATATATATATATATATAGCTGGCCACTCCTATTTGAGGATACCTGTGTACTAGGGCAGCTAGCCAATCCCTATTGCACACGCTTTCTCAGGCGCATTTGTGTTTTATTCAACACCCACAGAGCCCACCTGTGGTTCATATATATATATATATATATATATATATATATAAATAATAGTGAATCAAAAATAATTACTGTACAATTATTATTCTATTATATATTCCTCATTATTTGCAATGACTTATCAAGCAACTCTTCGATTCTTTTGGAATAAGACTTCGTAGGTTCTAAAATGAAAAACTTTTCGATGACCTCTTGGTTTTTATTAGAGAAAGTTTTTCACATAGAAGTGCTTTGAGGCTACAGAAAAAGGTAATAATCGATTGGTGCAAAGTCAAATGAATATGGTCGGTGAGATAGAATAGACTAACCGAGTTCCAAATTTTTGTTTTCCTGTGTTCTTCGTGCTGTATGCGACCTTGCGTTGTCATGGAGGAGAACAACATTCTTTCC